CTTTCCCCTGAATGGAAATGGATCTCTTGATAGCATCAACCTGCATAGGCTCAGGAGTGTTAGAACCCAGAGAGACTCTTAAATCCTGCTGAACAAATGGACTAGCAGAGAGATGCATGCCCCTATTACCTCCACACATTCCCAACCTCGCCTTCTTCCTTTCTGTAAGTCTTTGATCAATTCGGATACACAATTGGATGAATTCCTCAAGATCATTAGGAATATCTACTCTGGCAAGCTCATCCTTTACCTGTTCAGAAAGCCCTTGGCGGAACTGGCTCTTTTGTGCTGCAGGGTTCCAAGTGGTATCTGCCATCCAACTTGTGAATTCGGCTGTGTATTCAGTGACTGAGCGTCTACCCTGTCGCAGACTATGCAATTTTTATTCGGCAGTAGTACAACAGTTGGGATCGTCAAAAATCTGATTCATCGCGGTCAAAAAGGTATCAAAATCATTCAACATGCCATGGTTTTGGTCTATATAAGGGGAGGTCCAAGCTAGAGCTTCCCCAGTCAGAAGCCCAATAATAAACATTACCTTCTTTTTCTCTGAAGGAAACGCAGCAGGGTACATTTGGAAGTATACACGACATTGATTAAGGAAACCCCTGTAGTGGCGGCGGTCTCCATTAAACTTAGCTGGTTGGGGCTGGGGCATACTGTATGTGAGCTAGGATCATCTCGGTTCAGCAGTTGTCTCTGCAGAGCCTGAATCTCTCCCTGTTGCCTATCCACAATGTTTTCTAGTTTGGCAACTTTCTCTTGATAGGTAACCCCAAATTCCTGCAGCTCAGCAATTTGCTGCCTAACGTTTGCCATAGCGGTCTCCATGTTTAGGCCAGATTATTCTGTCACGATCTGGGTCAGGTTCAGAGACCAGTTGCTATAGAATGTGTAAGGCTTACCTTAAACCAGCAGGATAGGTACACAGGCAGGTCACCCTGGGAAATCACGCAGGTTCATCTGATGTGCGGGGTCTAAGCATTAACCGGTTTTCACCAGAGCTCCTAATGGTGGAGATTAGAGATGAGCGAATCGAAGTAGGCGAAGTGGAATTAGTTTCGAATATTAGGAAAATTTCGAAATTTTTCCTAAAATGGCGGCGACATGTGCGGCGACGGAGCGGGGATGTCTGGGAAGGCGCGCAGACAAGGCGCGCTGACCCATAATGCATTCATTCATGACATGTGATCGCATTAGCCAATCAGCAGACAGCCAGCCAGCACAGTGTAATGGTCGAGCTATAAATAGCGGCCATTTTAGAATTCTCCATTTGCCTCCAGTCATTCAACAGAGGCAGACCTGGCTGTATTCAGGGAGAGAGTTAGGGACAGAGAAACGTTACTTAGGGACACAGAAACGTTAGTTAGGGCCACAGAATCGTTACTTAGGGCCACAGAAACGTTACTTAGGGCCACAGAAACGTTACTTAGGGCCACAGAATCGTTAGTTAGGGCCACAGAAACGTTACTTAGGGACACAGAATTGTTACTCAGGGACAGACAGAATTGTTACTGAGGGATACAGAATTGTTACTGAGGGCCACAGAATCATTACTTAGGGCCACAGAAACGTTACTTAGGGCCACAGAATTGTTACTTATGGACAGACACAGAATTGTTACTGAGGGACACAGATTTGTTACTGAGGGCCACAGAATCGTTACTTAGGGCCACAGAATTGTTACTTAGGGACAGACACAGAATTGTTACTGAGGGACACAGATTTGTTACTGAGGGCCACAGAATCGTTACTTAGGGCCACAGAAACGTTACTTAGGGCCACAGAAACGTTACTTAGGGCCACAGAATTGTTACTTAGGGACAGACACAGAATTGTTACTGAGGGACACAGATTTGTTACTGAGGGCCACAGAAACGTTACTTAGGGCCACAGAAACGTTACTTAGGGCCACAGAATTGTTACTTAGGGACAGACACAGAATTGTTACTGAGGGACACAGATTTGTTACTGAGGGCCACAGAAACGTTACTTAGGGCCACAGAAAACGTTACTTAGGGCCACAGAATCGTTAGTTAGGGCCACAGAAACGTTACTTAGGGACACAGAATTGTTACTCAGGGACACAGAATCGTTTAATTAAAGAGTATGTCAGACAACATGCAGAGGAGTGGCAGAGGAGGCAATGTTTTAGGGAGCGAGCAGACGTGGCAAGAGGAAGGGGTCGAGGCAGCACTATTCGCAGCCAGAGGCCAGTGCTCCCGGTGTCATCCAGTACAGTGAGGAAGAGCTAACAGAGGGCGGTCAGGAACGGGGGGAGACATCCGCCTCTTCAGCAGCCAGGCAAAGAAGTAGTGGCTAGGAGAGTGGCTCGGTAGCCGGTCTAGAGACAGGTCTGTCTCCTGACCCACACGCAGCCGAGGGGGCTAGTAGTGAGGCGGAGACCCTAATTGATGATGATGAGGCTGATCGCACTTGGCAGCCTCGTCGTCATCAGGCTATTGCTTCCGCATCATCAGGAGAAGAGGGTGGCAGCTTGGTAGCGAGCAAAACAGTCGGTGGGTTGTCTCCATCGCCACACTCTGCCATGTGCAACTTTCAGGTCTCCTCACACACTGCTGGTGTGTTCCATTTTTTGACATAGGGTGCTGGCAGATTACGGGCCTCCCATAGCTGCTGCCAGGCCCCTAATCTGCCATGGGCCCCTATACCGCCTCCTCATGCTGCTGCCAAGTCCAGAGTCTCTCATGGGTCCCTGTACGGCCTCCCATTGCTGCTGTCTCCATCGCCACACTCTGCCATGTGCCACTTTCAGGTCTCCTCACACACTGCTGGTGTGTTCAATTTTTTGACATAGGGTGCTGGCAGATTACGGGCCTCCCATAGCTGCTGCCAGGCCCCTATTCTGCCATGGGCCCCTGTACCGCCTCCTCATGCTGCTGCGAAGTCCAGAGTCTCTCATGGGTCCCTGTACGGCCTCCCATTGCTGCTGTCTCCATCGCCACACTCTGCCATGTGCCACTTTCAGGTCTCCTCACACACTGCTGGTGTGTTCAATTTTTTGACATAGGGTGCTGGCAGATTACGGGCCTCCCATAGCTGCTGCCAGGCCCCTAATCTGCCATGGGCCCCTGTACCGCCTCCTCATGCTGCTGCCAGGTCCACAGTGTCTCATGCCATGTGCCACTTTCAGGTCTCCTCACACTGCTGGTGTGTTCAATTTTTTGTCATAGGGTGCTGGCAGATTATGGGCCTCCCATAGCTGCTGCCAGGCCCCTAATCTGCCATGGGCCCCTATACCGCCTCCTCATGCTGCTGCGAAGTCCAGAGTCTCTCATGGGTCCCTGTACGGCCTCCCATTGCTGCTGTGTCCATCGCCACACTCTGCCATGTGCCACTTTCAGGTCTCCTCACACACTGCTGGTGTGTTCAATTTTTTGACATAGGGTGCTGGCAGATTACGGGCCTCCCATAGCTGCTGCCAGGCCCCTAATCTGCCATGGGCCCCTGTACCGCCTCCTCATGCTGCTGCCAGGTCCACAGTGTCTCATGCCATGTGCCACTTTCAGGTCTCCTCACACTGCTGGTGTGTTCAATTTTTTGACATAGGGTGCTGGCAGATTACGGGCCTCCCATAGCTGCTGCCAGGCCCCTAATCTGCCATGGGCCCCTATACCGCCTCCTCATGCTGCTGCCAAGTCCAGAGTCTCTCATGGGTCCCTGTACGGCCTCCCATTGCTGCTGTCTCCATCGCAACACTCTGCCATGTGCCACTTTCAGGTCTCCTCACACACTGCTGGTGTGTTCAATTTTTTGACATAGGGTGCTGGCAGATTACGGGCCTCCCATAGCTGCTGCCAGGCCCCTAATCTGCCATGGGCCCCTGTACCACCTCCTCATGCTGCTGCTGCCAGGTCCACAGTGTCTCATGCCATGTGCCACTTTCAGGTCTCCTCACACTGCTGGTGTGTTCAATTTTTTGTCATAGGGTGCTGGCAGATTAGGGGCCTCCCATAGCTGCTGCCAGGCCCCTAATCCTCCCATGCCATAGGGGTATGGTTACAGATTACGGGCCCCTGTGCCGCCTGCCATGGGCCCCCTCACCGCCTCTCTGTGCTGCTGCCAGGTCCAGAGTCTCTCATGGGTCCCTGTACGGCCTCCCATTGCTGCTGTCTCCATCGCCACACTCTGCCATGTGCCACTTTCAGGTCTCCTCACACATTGCTGGTGTGTTCCATTTTTTGTCATAGGGTGCTGGCAGATTACGGGCCTCCCATAGCTGCTGCCAGGCCCCTAATCTGCCATGGGCCCCTATACCGCCTCCTCATGCTGCTGCCAGGTCCACAGTGTCTCATGCCATGTGCCACTTTCAGGTCTCCTCACACTGCTGGTGTGTTCCATTTTTTGTCATAGGGTGCTGGCAGATTACGGGCCTCCTATAGCTGCTGCCAGGCCCCTAATCTGCCATGGGCCCCTATACCGCCTCCTCATGCTGCTGCCAGGTCCAGAGTCTCTCATGGGTCCCTGTACGGTCCTCCCATTGCTGCTGTCTCCATCGCCACACTCTGCCATGTGCCACTTTCAGGTCTCCTCACACACTGCTGGTGTGTTCAATTTTTTGACATAGGGTGCTGGCAGATTACGGGCCTCCCATATAGCTGCTGCCAGGCCCCTAATCTGCCATGGGCCCCTGTACCGCCTCCTCATGCTGCTGCCAGGTCCACAGTGTCTCATGCCATGTGCCACTTTCAGGTCTCCTCACACTGCTGGTGTGTTCCATTTTTTGTCATAGGGTGCTGGCAGATTACGGGCCTCCCATAGCTGCTGCCAGGCCCCTAATCTGCCATGGGCCCCTGTACCGCCTCCATCATGCTGCTGCCAGGTCCACAGTGTCTCATGCCATGTGCCACTTTCAGGTCTCCTCACACTGCTGGTGTGTTCAATTTTTTGTCATAGGGTGCTGGCAGATTACGGGCCTCCCATAGCTGCTGCCAGGCCCCTAATCTGCCATGGGCCCCTATACCGCCTCCTCATGCTGCTGCCAGGTCCACAGTGTCTCATGCCATGTGCCACTTTCAGGTCTCCTCACACTGCTGGTGTGTTCCATTTTTTTGTCATAGGGTGCTGGCAGATTACGGGCCTCCTATAGCTGCTGCCAGGCCCCTAATCTGCCATGGGCCCCTATACCGCCTCCTCATGCTGCTGCCAGGTCCCAGAGTCTCTCATGGGTCCCTGTACGGCCTCCCATTGCATTGCTGTCTCCATCGCCACACTCTGCCATGTGCCACTTTCAGGTCTCCTCACACTGCTGGTGTGTTCCATTTTTTGACATAGGGTGCTGGCAGATTGCGGGCCTCCCCTCCCATAGCTGCTGCCAGGGCCTCCCCCCTAATCTGCCATGGGCCCCTGTACCGCCTCCTCATGCTGCTGCTGCCAGGTCCACAGTGTCTCATGCCATGTGCCACTTTCAGGTCTCCTCACACTGCTGGTGTGTTCCATTTTTTGTCATAGGGTGCTGGCAGATTACGGGCCTCCTATAGCTGCTGCCAGGCCCCTAATCTGCCATGGGCCCCTATACCGCCTCCTCATGCTGCTGCCAGGTCCAGAGTGTCTCATGGGTCCCTGTACGGCCTCCCATTGCTGCTGTCTCCATCGCCACACTCTGCCATGTGCCACTTTCAGGTCTCCTCACACTGCTGGTGTGTTCCATTTTTTGTCATAGGGTGCTGGCAGATTAGGGGCCTCCCATAGCTGCTGCCAGGCCCCTAATCTGCCATGGGCCCCTATACCGCCTCCTCATGCTGCTGCCAAGTCCAGAGTCTCTCATGGGTCCCTGTACGGCCTCCCATTGCTGCTGTCTCCATCGCCACACTCTGCCATGTGCCACTTTCAGGTCTCCTCACACTGCTGGTGTTTTCCATTTTTTGTCATAGGGTGCTGGCAGATTACGGGCCTCCCATAGCTGCTGCCAGGCCCCTAATCTGCCATGGGCCTCTGTACCGCCTCCTCATGCTTCTGCCAGGTCCACAGTGTCTCATGCCATGTGCCACTTTCAGGTCTCCTCACACTGCTGGTGTGTTCCATTTTTTGTCATAGGGTGCTGGCAGATTACGGGCCTCCTATAGCTGCTGCCAGGCCCCTAATCTGCCATGGGCCCCTATACCGCCTCCTCATGCTGCTGCCAGGTCCAGAGTCTCTCATGGGTCCCTGTACGGCCTCCCATTGCTGCTGTATCCATCGCCACACTCTGCCATGTGCCACTTTCAGGTCTCCTCACGATGCTGGTGTGTTCCATTTTTTGTCATAGGGTGCTGGCAGATTACGGGCCTCCCATAGCTGCTGCCAGGCCCCTAATCTGCCATGGGCCCCCGTACCGACTACTCATGCTGCTGCCAGGCCCGTAATCTGTCATGGGCCCCTGTTGTCGCTTGTTGGCATATTCCGCTCGTTCAGATGCTCCTTCTCCTGCTACTCCTCTTCACGGATTCCGTCAGCAGTCTTTCTTGGAATCCGTTTCCAAGAGACAACAGTTTGCGAGCACGCACCCGACGGTGCAGAAGCTGAACGTCCTCCTGTCCAAGTTGCTGCTGCCAAGCTCGTAATCTGTCATGCGCCCCTGTACCGCCTCCTCATGCTGCTGCCAGGTCCAGAGTGTGTCATGGGCCCCCGTACCGACTCCTCATGCTGCTGCCAGGCCCGTAATCTGTCATGGGCCCCTGTACCGCCTCCTCATGCTGCTGCCAGGTCCAGAGTGTGTCATGGGTCCCTGTACGGCCTCCCATTGCTGCTGTCTCCATCGCCACACTCTGCCATGTGCCACTTTCAGGTCTCCTCACACTGCTGGTGGTTTCCATTTTTGTCATAGGGTGCATTATGGCTTCCCATTGCTGCTGCCTCCACCGCCACACTGTGGCTCCACACTCTGGTTTTGGCCCCGTGACTGCCCAAATGAGTGAAGTGTGCGGTGATTCTAAGATTGACGGCACTCATCTGCATGTCATACTGACTGTCAGTATTATTTCTCTTCCCCAGCAGACTCCAAGGGCATTTAAATTAAATGTACAGTGTTCTGCACTAATATAAAGGCTCTCTGAAGCCTAGAAACACCCTTTTATAAGTTAAATTCGCAGCGAATATATTCGACTCGAATCGAAATTTTTCCACGAATTCGCCGAATCAGTCGAATCGAATTTTTGAATACTTCGCTCATCTCTAGTGGAGATGGATTTGGCTGCGTGTCAATACCATGTCGCAGATCTCAGGATCACCCCACCAGTGAATGAGCAAGACGGTAATCGATAGCGGATCAAGATCAAACAGATTAGGGATAAGCAGAAGCAGAGTCAAAAAAGCCAAGGGTCGGTCACAGATGGTAGTGGATGAGGATGAGACGAAATCGTGGTCAGGAACAAGCCAAAGGTCAGTAGCGGAGGTGTAGACGGCAGCAGGAACAATAAGCGGGATATTGGTTGGTAAGGCACAATAATCTGGCAACCAGGAAGTGCAGAGACATGGCTTTTATAGGACGTTCATGGGAGGAGCAAGGAGTTCAAGGTTCAAGACAAAACAGGGCAAAGGCAGGATCATCCAATTGTCAAGGGAGCTTTCCAGCAGGTGGCTCAGTGAGAAGAAACACTGTCTCCCACTGTCGAAGGCCCAGGTTCAATTCCAGGCTCTGACAAGTAGTCAGGTCACTCACTGGGGTCAGTAACAGGATTACAGATCAGATTAGGGATATCCAGGAGAGAGGTCAAACGAGCCAGGGGGTCAGACCAGAAGAAGTCAGGATCAGGCAGGGTCAGCAACAAATCACAATAGCAGGAACACAGGATAAATAGACCATAAGGCAATGAGAGTCTGTGCAGGGCAGGTTTAAATAGTGTGCCCTGCCCTGTCATTAGTGCCAGGCAAGTGTTTGCAATTGTGAGTGCGCATGCATGGCTGCTGCCGGCCAGGTCCTAGTGCCCACCAGCTAGTATGGATTGGCATTCTGCGCATGCGCAGACCCGCTTGTTGCCGCAATCCCTGACAGGAAGACTTTTGAAAGTCATCAGCAGCCAAATCTACTATCCTGGCACATATCTGCCTTTACATGGTGGGAGCCACTGTCACTATTATGAAGGACTGGGAAAATAGCAGGTACTACTGTGAAGTTCTTTCTGCCAGGCTAAGGAATCACAAATACTGTAATTGAGGCAAGCTTGTCACTGACAGTTTTTATTTGTCATGGAAGATGATTATTAAAATTAGTAAATTTTTGGACACCATCAATCACAATGTATTCAGGTTAATTGATGCACTGAGATTGATTTACTGAAAGACCTGAGACTGTTCATACAATAAATTGTGTAAATATTCACATTAATTATCCAATCATCTTAAAAGTAAATTCCAGTTTAGTTATTACATATGCACGTAATTGGGTATTCAAAGTTAACTGAAATTGGATAACTGAAGTTAATATTCACACAATAAGTATATTGTGGGAAGATTCTCAGTTAGTTTACTAAATCAGCCAAAGTATTTCTTATTAAAGTATTTTAGTTTACTAAATCAGCCCAAGAGTTCTTAGTAAAATGCCATGAAACCTGTAACCTTTTTTAATGATACTTTGTTGAGCATTTGTGTCTGGCTATAGTATCCACAATGCACTGACTGGCCTTTGAAATGAGGTCAGCTGTCTTAGAGGGGCCAATAAAGGGGCTTTTTGATCAGTTTAATTAGGAGAGGTCACAACAGCCATGCTGACAATGGGCTTTATCTTTGATAGGGATAATATAGGGAGTGCTACTCATAAAGTGCATAAGCGGTCTGTTAAAGATTGTTGTAGGGTTTGTAGGCACTGGTAGATCTAAATATAGATGCAAATCCTTTCTGATTGATACTTAGATAGCAAAATGCTTTGTATGGTATAGAATTTGGAGGTGTGTGTGGGGGGGGGGGGGGGGCAGAGAGGTTGCTTTACCTTTTTTTTTTAGTTCATTCACACTTTAATGCTGCTGATGTTCTGCAGCTTTTTTACAGCCTGCCCCTGGCCACATGCACTACAGTGATAACAGTCTATATGTATTTTGTCACAGGGCATATTGTTACTAGCTGAGATCATTTTTTACGTAGTCTTTTTTTTAAATGGAACCTTCCATGATCTATTATGCTTGGCCAATGTGCCCCAACAGAAGCTCATAATTTCCTTTAGGAGAGTATGTAAAAGGCAGAGAATTGCCAAATACAGGGACAGAGCATTGTGCCCAATAATTTATGTTACATACCTCCTGAGTGCAGACCAAGATGATGAGGGTGGAATCTTGAACAATTCCCGTCCAAGCACCCCTGGTAGTGGAGGCATATAAAACTGGGAGATTGGGTGATGTGTCCCACCACTTATTTTTGCCAGCAAGACAAAGATCAAAAAGATATACAGATATCCCTCTGGGACTTTGTAGGGCAAAAATGTGTGTGCAACAGTAGAAAACAATAAGTTTTTATTACAAAACTTTTTTTTTGTAAAAAGAATCAACAGATTCAATAAGATGAAACTGCAGTACAGCAATTCATGACTCAAGGAATGAATAATATTGTACAGTATACATATAACCTGAAGGAAAAAGATTAATGCAAAAACATTGCAAAAATATCCTTATCAGTAAGTAGATGTGTTAACAACATCCAAGCCAAATATAATATAAATGTAAAAACCCAGCCAGGTATGGAGGAAAGAGAATATTATATAAATTATGGTAAAAAATAATGATCACCACTTAGTATTGTGCTATCTTGTAGGGCCAAGCTGTGTTCATCCAGAGAGAAGTCAAAGACAGAGTACCTGGTTTAAATAGTGGCAGCATAGCACTCATAAACCAATGGGTGGTCGCCAACAATTGGAGCCAAATAAGTATAGGTGTATTTAATTCTAAGGAGCCTCCACTGGATAGGAGCGGTCACATGGCCACTAATGGCAATCTCCCGGACCAATGTGCATGCAGCGCCGCCCCGCACGCCAGCGCAATGATGTCACATGCAGGAGTGCGATTGTATATTGTACAATGTTATTCATTCCTTGAGTCATGAATTGCTGTACCGCAGTTTGATTCTTTTTACTAAAAAAATGTTTGTAATAACACGTTTTTGCCCTACAAAGTCCCAAGGGGATATCTGTATATCTTTTTGATTTTTGTCCTTGTAGTGGAGGCAGGAACTGCTAGAGCAGTGAAAGGGCACAGATACCAGGAAGCTGAGTAGTGAACTGAAGCTTGGAAACAAAGGAGTCCTTCCAGTGGTAGTATGGAGTCTGGTCGCAAGCTATGTGCAACAGAAGACAGGCAAATAGGTACAGAATCAGAATCAAGTGAAAGGTCAGGAATAGGCAGAAGTCAGTACTAACAGGTACTAAGTCAGGAAGCAGAGTCGTGGTCAGAAATCCGAGTCATGGTCATAAATCCAAGTCGAGGTCAGTAACACAAGTGAGAAGTAGAGATAACAGGCAGGAGTGATCCAAGAGAGAAGTCATGCATAACCAGGTCAGGAACAGGATAAGCAGACTTTCAAGTACCTGGAATTGCAGAACCAAATCTGAAGAAAATCTAGCACTGAGGCTAGGCAGACTCTTGGTTTAAATAGGCCGCTGGGTGCACACTTATCAGCCAATGCTCATTCTTGTCCTTGTACATCTAGTTAGGCTTCTGGTCTCACAATCACATGTGCATGAGAATGAGCACC